TTCCAATCATCACAGATGTATTAAGAGCCTGTAGACTCAGTAGCTCAGTAAATTCTAGTGTGATACTTTGAGAGGACGCCACCTGTGCAATACCTCCAGTTTTGAAATTCCCTCACCCCTAAATATATCTCTGAGGTATTATTGGTGATTGGGAACAACAACTAAGCCATAAAGTGGTGGGCCATTTTAACTGATGAGGTGAAGGGTGGGGGCAGTGGATATTGACATGCGTAGTTGCAAGCATTAATTAATTGAACTTTATTGATCTCACATGAGGGAGATTTTTACCTCTGCATTTAACCCATCCCTTTGGGGAGCAGTGGGCTGCTAATGTCCGGTGCCCGGGGAGCAGTGTGGGGTTAAGGGTCTTTGCTCAGAGACCCAGAGTGTCAGTCTGTGGGAGTGGGTTTTGAACTCAGAACCTCTGGATTACAAGCAAAATGCCCTAACCACTAGGCCACACTCCCCTCTTACACAAAGTATATCGCTGCAGAACATAAAATTCTGGATGTTCATAGAATACATTTCCTTTGTCAAGCAGTTGTATCTAAGCTCTTACTAGAGCAGCGGGAGCTCTGGCTTGAAGAATAACCCTTCTTCATCGAATAATCACATGAATGAGTCGGAGTTTAGCACTTGCCAAGAGAACTGCATTTTTCTGGTTATATGAAAAGTTTGGTGTGATGGTTGTTGTGATGGGTGAATGGGGGTGTTTCTTAAGGACCAAAGTACTTACCAGTCTAATAATACATTTGGGAAAAGAGAATCGGTTTTACATCCGGCTTCTTTTTTCAGCCACCACCAAGATCCACTGTTGTTTTTCCTTGTGCACGATCACTTTCACATTTCCTCTTTTTAGCCCCCTCAGAAGGTTTAAACTTTATTTTTGCCTCAGTCATAACCAGTAGTCGAGCAGGAGGAAAAGTTTTAGAGCAAAAGCCTTAGCTCCAAGACTATATAAGAGCCTGTGGTCATGGAGTGATACGTTCTTCCAGGTCACATGACCTGGCCAATGACGGTGAGTGGGGAGCCCTGCTTGTAGCACTGATAGTGTCAAGCACTGTATATTGGCCAGAGGAATCATCTAAAATAACTCATATGCGTCAACTTTTTAGGTCACAAAATCCGTGGTGTGCCTTCAAAGTGGACAAAATAGAGCAGGTGTGAACAGGCCTGAACCCAAAAAGGAACTAACATGTGTCCATCCAGATTTCAGGTTCACCTACTAAGTCATCCGGAAATCCCGGGACCGGCCACCGGCACTTCCGGGTCCTCGCTCCTGGGATAACTGGAAGTGAGTGTTATGTATGAATATGCGTCAGTGTTTTTTTTTTTTGTTTGTTTGTTTTTTTAGTGGCACTAGGGTGGGAAGGTGTGATTGAGACCTGACAGACCGAATCTGTCAGGTTCGGTCTGAACTGCTCCCACTCCGAAGAACATCTAAAGTCTCTAAGTGCAAAGTGTGGAGCCCATTCCTCCTGTCCTGACTCCCTCCACTGGCTGTTGCTTTGGCTCGCCGGTGCACTGGCGATGCTCAGTGTTTGGGGGTGGAAGCCCGGGTGGGTACTGCCTTATTCCTGGGGGATGTTTCGCAGGGCCTGGCCCCCTTGGGCCCATGGTCGGTTCCACTTCGGGGTGGCTGGCTAACTGTGGAGCCCGTGGACTCTTCCCTGTGGCTCCCGGAGACTTCGGCATTGCAGCTGCTGGGGGATTTCCTCTGGGTCTTCTCTCCTCCACCCTTGGAGGGGGGTTAGATTTCCTGGGTTGGCCCCTCCTGGGCACCTTTGCTCTTGGGATCCCTTTGGACGTCTGGGGCTTTGGGTCCCCCAGCGCTCGCCTCAATGCTCTTGGTAGGGGCACGGCTTTGGCTCATCACAACCACTATTGAGCATTTTCCCTTTTGGATAAGCTTTACATGCATAAGTGCACTCTCACAAACAACTACAGATGCTTGGTTCCAGGTACTTAGAGATTCACTTCCATACAGAAAGCCCATATTCTTATCTTTAGCTACCACAGTATACATGTCAGATTAAATAAGACTACCTATACTTCAGCGATAGTATCAAGGTGTGACTTTATTGTATCTCTTATACTATATCTGTTGGTTGTGCTGTTCTTTTTACATCTCTTTGCAGGTGATGAAGCAGACTGAAGATGTTTTATCATTATCTACATTTTATCTCCTCTTTCTTTCATCTTTTCTCCTTTTTTCAGTTTGTCCTTTCCTGTTCTACTTACATTGAAGTGTCCATATAATCTGTAATACTCCCTGCATAAAATATAATAAAGCTATTTTTATGCATAAATCAAGCAGAACACTATGGAGATAGCCGTACTGTTCCACTTGTGAAAGTAAAATCTATTGGGCTCTTTTTGGCATAAAGACAATTATTCTTATTGCCACATTGTCAGACAGGACACTGTAATCATTGAAGTTATTGTAGGTTATATTATATTTTATCATATCTGTGTTTAGATTGAAAATATCTATTTTTAGATGCACCCAGTAAATAATGTAAACATATGTCATAACGAGATAATGTGAATGAGGATGCTTGTGGACTAGGATTTTAAATGATAATCTTAAAACAATAAGTACAGTAAAAACACTAATTTTAAATTAACTTTCATTCAGATAAGTTGAGTGATAACTGGGAGGACAAGTATGACACAATGAGAAAATTAAACTGCAAAAGATTAGACTTTTTTTTTTTAAGCAGATGCATCATGTTGACGTTTTTAACACAGTTTATTGTGTTAGTAAGTTAGAAACAACGTCTGTATCGTTCACATGATAAACAACACACGCACCGATACAGTTTTGCTCTCTATGCTCGACCCATGCACTGATGCATTTGTGTTGCTGGACCCATCACTAGTTCTCTTTTCTGGAGTTTATTTGCATAAAGGTGTTTGATTGGCTAAAATCAAACAGCCTCACCGTTCATCAGAGTAAAACATAAATATTAATGTTAAAGTAATATATAGGAGTGAGCCGAATATTACTGCATGAAGGCAAATGTAAAACCTGGTAAATTGGTGCATTTGTGCCCTGTGTTCAGTTAGCCCTCACATGCTTTTTGCATTAAGCATTCAAATGCATATGTTTTAAACACCAGTATAACACTGACTCAAAAAGCACATAATACATAACACAGGAAAAATAAAAGCTGAACTTTAGGTCAAACACTGCTGGCTCTGCAACAGCAAAACATGAGCTAAACACCCACAAAGCATCATGGGACCAGGAAGATGTAGGTGTATTGATTTCTATGTAGGAGGAAGAGGAAGAAGGGTGGAGCTAAAACTGGAAATGCAGGAGATGGCCGACATTCATTGAGTGAACTTTAAATGGCTATGAGGGGGAGGAGCAGATAACAAACAAAAAAAATTAATAAAATAACCAAATCTGAGAGAAAACAAATGCTGCAGACACACCTCACGATGAACATTCTGAGAGGTGGAGCAAAATGAATTAAATCCATTAAACATGTGCCACCTACCTGGTAGTGAAAACGTATGTGTGGAGATGAAGGGGATTTTTTTAAGGCGCTGGTTGAGCTGTTGTATTAAAATATATTATTTTAATATAACTTCAAATCACAAAAAGGTTTCCTCATCACATCCGCAATTATCCAAATGGTTCTAAGCTATATATATTCTTTTAGTCCCACCTTGATCTGGGTCCACCCTCACCTTTGCAGACAAATATACTACTGTATGTTTACCATGTAAATTTGGCTGACCACAATAGGCCATTTAAGCAGTACTACCCCTACCACCACCCAACAAACACATGCATAGTTAAAACAGCAGCAAAGCCCTGGTCATACAACTGATGTGTCTCCCATGATAAAGTTAAGCCATTTTTAAACAACATAATGTTTGCATTTTCAGGCTGCGTTTCTTTAGATTAATAAACGTGGCTGCCATAAACAACAGACTTGTAAGTCTACTGTAATGCTTAGTTAATCCATCGTATATTTAATAGCTTTACAAACCTAAACATTGTACTTGGAACATAAATTTTGAAAGCCACACAGTCTTAATTGGATTCAAGCATGTACATTGAGTGAGCTACTATACAGTAATATGAATATACTTCATAGGGCCACTGTCCCACTGGAAGATAAACATCCACCCCTATTTTCTAGTCTTTAGGAAACTTTGCAGGTTTCTGTTAAGAACTCCTCTGTATCATGGGCCATTTTTTCTAATAGTTCTTCTATGTTTGTTTCCTTCACATTCTCTGTCCATTTCCTCCACTTTCTCTTGCATCTCTTCCATCCCAAACAAATAGTTTTATCATTTTTATGAGCTTATTTTTATATATATATATATATATATATATATATATAA